GACACTAGGAGACAGAAGCAGCCGAGCCGGGGGACTCGCAGGTCCCTGCGTCCCCCACTGTGACTGCACCTGTGGGGTGCAGCCACGGGGGGAGCCAGGTCAGGGGGGAGAGGTGATTGACAGCAAGTGGTGGAAGACGCTTACCGTGTGAGACTGAGTCCCTGGACACCCACAGGATGTTCCCTCCGTTCCACAGAAAGGAAATGGTGGCAGAGTGCTTGTGGTTAGCACGCTTCCCTCCCCTAAGTGGCTCAGAGGAAAGCAAAGGGGGTCCCTAGAAGCAAACAGAACCCCTAGCCTAGGACTCGGCCGTCAGCTTCCGCCTGCCTTGCCTAGACCTGGCTATGTGCAACTGAGGCCTGGCTGTGTACACCTGGGCCTGGCTGTGTACACCTGGGCCTTGCTGGGTATATCCCAGGGCCTTGCTGTATGCACCTGGGCCTGGCTGTGTGCACCCAGGGCCTTGCTGTATGCACCTGGGCCTGGCTGTGTGCACCCAGGGCCTTGCTGTATGCACCTGGGCCTGGCTGTGTGCACCCAGGGCATGGCTCTGTGTACTTGGGCCTTTCCATGTGCACCCAGGGCCAGACCATATGCACTGGGGCTTTGCTGTGTGCACCTGGGCCTGGCTGCTGTGTGTAGCTCGGCTTGGCTGTGTGTATCCAGGGCCATGCCATATGCACCCGGGCCTGGCTTTGTGTAGCTGGGCTTGGGTGTATGTACCTAGGCCTCACCATGTGTATCCAGGGCCTAGCTGTGTGCACCCAGGGCCTGGCTCTGTGTACTTAGGCCTTGCCATGTGTACCCAGAGCCAGACCATATGCACCTGGGCCTGGCTGTGTGTACCCAGGGCCTTGCCGTGTGCACCTGGGGCCTTGCTGGGTGTTCCCGGGACCTGGCTGTATACACCTGGGGCCTTGCTGTGGGTACCCAAGGCCTGGCTGTGTGCACCTGGGCCTGGCTGTATGCACCCGGGGCCTTGCTGTGGGTACCCAGGGTCTGGCTGTGTGCACCCAGGGCCTGGCTGTGTGTACCTGGGCCTGGCTGTGTGCACCTGGGCTTGGCCGTATGCACCTGAGCCTGGCTGTGTGTGTACCTGGGCCTGGCTGTGTGCACCCAGGGCCTGGATGTGTGTAACTGGGCCTGGCTGTATGCACCCGGGGCCTGGCTGTGTGTGTACCTGGGCCTGGCTGTGTGTGTACCTAGGCCTGGCTGTGTGTGTACCTGGGCCTGGCTGTGTGTGTACCTAGGCCTGGCTGTGTGTGTACCTGGGCCTGGCTGTGTGTGTACCTGGGCCTGGCTGTGTGCACCTGGGCCTGGCTGTGGTACCTGGGCCTCACGTGCCCCCTGCTCCTCCCTTCTGTCCCAGGACCTTTGCAGCCTTGCTCAGCCACTCTCGCATGGCCCGGTCTGTCATGCCTCTGCTCACATTTCCAAGACTGCCCTGAGCAGGCCGGCCCCCTGTTCGAGACACCACCCCAGAGCACCCCAGCCCCTGCTTTGTGCATCTTCCTGGGGGGGGGGGTTGGTAAGCACTGACCTCCCCCACAAACCGTAAGCTCTGGGGTGCTGGGGACTTGTCCCCTTCAGCTGCCCTCTGCTCCCTGGGTGCCCCAGCACTGAGCCATACAGCAGGTGCTCGGTACGTGGTTGGTGATCAACTTTGTGTGGGAATGAGTGACTCTGTTGATTTCGGTCTCTGTAGGCCTTTGGGTTTGTCCTCAGAAGGGTGCAGGGCACGTGGCTCACCCCGGGAGCAGCACGGCTGTGGGGCCCAGCGAGGGCGTCCGCAGTGGCCACCTCCGTCCCTTTGCTTTCCTGCTAGAGCCTCCGGAAAGGAGGGCGGAGCTGGCCCGAGTGGGCCTGGGAGTGCGGCCTGGGCCCTGCCTGGTGCTCTCGCTGGGGTCCACTCCAGGGATGACCCTGTGAGTCTCCAGGGCTGCTGTGGGGCCAGGGTTAACCCAGCGGTTAAGACACCCACGTCCCACGCGGCATCCCCACCCCGCCTCCTGCCTCCTGCCTCCAGCTCCTGCGAACCCTGCCGACGACGGCAGCTGGTTCCGGCCGTCACTCAGGGGCCCCGGGGGCCTTCCTGGCTCCTGGTTTGGGCTCAGCCCAGCCCTGACTGTTGACAACATTAGGGGAGTGAACAAGTGGGTTTCTGTGTCTCGGGTTTTGAAGAAGCACTGTGACATGGGTGGTGTGTTGATGAGTTCGGAGCAGCTGCGGTTTGATGTGTGTGTGTGTGTGTGTGTGTGTGTGTGTGTGTGTGTGTGTGTGATTTTCCTGTTCGCTGAAAGCAGTTGCTGGAGAGTGGCTTCCTGGGGATTCTGAGACCGGCTACCAAGATGGCTGTGTGGGAGACGAGCGTGGCGCTGTCTGCGAGCTCTGTAGTGTTTGCTGTTGGCGTGCAGCCGTGTGAGGGATAAGATGGTCTCGGCAGACAGCTTGAAGGCAGGCAAACCAGCAAGTAGCTGTTGACACTCACGGGACGATCCTGAGCTGTTCAGAACGCGTTGTTAGAGCCGCTTGCTGCCGGGGAAGGACCTCCTGCCCGCGTGCTGTGTGTGGTGAGGCGGTGAGAGCTGTCAGGGCGGCCGCGTGTGTACAGCGCTGGAACGTGGACTGGGCCATGTCTGTTCTGGACAGTGCAAGTAGGCAGCCCAGCAGAGCCTCAGACTGGCGTGCCCAGCCCGAACCGCCCCCGAGGAGCTCGGGGCTCTCGGGAAGGTGCAGGGAACTCCTGGGCCAGCTCCAGGGACCTGCACAGAGCAGGGCTCCGTCACCCGGTGGTTCACGGTCATCAAAGGTTCCCAAGAATGGTACCTACTTGTGTCTTAAGTATTCAAACTTTGCTTCACCCAGTTTTATATAACAATTTTTAAATATTAAAAGTTCCTTTTTTAAAAAAAATTTTGTTTTAAGAACCACGATACAAGGGGAAAAGAAGGCTCCCTGTTGCTCCTGTGCCAGGTCGCCCACCGTGGGTGGCTTTCACACCACCTGCGGCCGTGGACACGGCTGCGGCTTCAGCCCTGAGCCTTCCAGGACAGCAGTCGCCTCAGGTGTGGCTGTGGGGGAGCCACCTGCTCAGGCCGGTGGGGCCATCGGCACGGTGCTCTCCAGTACCTGGAGCTCTTGGGCTGAGAGCCTGGGGAGACGACCAGGGAACCCGCCCAGCCATGCTGGGCTGTGTCTCTGGCTGCACAGAACGGGGCAACGGGATGAGTCCGCTGGGGACACAGCGTGCAGCAGGTTCCGCTGCAGGAACGCTCAGGCCTGTCCCCCCACCCCCACCCCCACCCCCACCCTGGCTCGCTTGAACCTCAGCAACCAATCCCGTGCTAGCACCAGAGTGGGCAGCAGCTTAGAATGCAGAGTGACCTTGGAAATGGCCAGTGCAGCCCACCTAGGTGTCAGAGGATGTCCTGATGCTGCCTGGCGTATTTTTGTGGTTGGATAGCAGCACAGGGCTGATGGCAGTCACTGATGGCAAAGATCTGTGTGGGGGCTGACACCTGCTAAGTACGCATGCCCAACACACACGTCCACTAAGCACGAGCACACCCTGTGTACGCGTGCTAGACATTCACACGTCCATGCACTCCCAGAGACCGGGAGACCGGCACCCCACCCCGTGTCTGTCTGTCTGTCTGTCTGTCTCTCTCTCTCTCTCTCTCTCTCTCTTACACACACACACACACACGGTGGCAGCCTAACTCAAGTGCCCTGTACCATCTGCTGTGGGGCCCCAGGCACCCGTCCGTGAGGTGCAGGTGGCCCTGGGAGATGCAAGCCGACTCACAGAGGGACGATGCTGGCATGGGGTGTGCCTTTTTCTCAATTTTGTTAATTAAATCTTAGAGGGAAGGTTTCCGGGAGTAATGCACTTGTAGATAAGACTCTTTGGCTGCAGGCACGGTTCCGTGTGGTGGCAGGGCTCCGTGCGGTGGTGGCAGGGCTCCGTGTGGTGGCACGGTTCCATGCGGTGGCAGGGCTCCGTGCGGTGGTGGCAGGGCTCCATGCAGTGGCAGGGCTCCATGTGGCAGGGGCGTCCTGGCAGAACTCAGGGCCTCTGCCCATGGGCCTTCCCCTGCTGTGCCCAGTGGGGAAGAGGAGATGCCGACTGGAAGAGGGTGTCTGTGTGTGTCTGTGTGTGTGGAGGCTGGTAGGAGGAACCACAGCGCCCCTCCCCCATGTCACCTGCTCACGCGGACAGCCTGGAGACAGCCTGGAGGGGAGTGCCGTCTCCTTGTCCCCAAGACCCCCTCAGGAAGCCCCGGGCCTTCAGCGAGCAGCCCCTTCCTCAGAGACCCCAGCCTACCCTCGGCAGCTTTGCTCAAGACGGAAGGAGGCATCGCTGGGCTGGGGGCCTCCCTGCTCCCCCCTGGGCCCTGGGACTCCCGCTCCTCCCACCCCTCCCACCCTTCCTGTCCCACACCCAGCGCCACCCGTTTCCCTGGTGCTGGAGTGATGCAAGCAAGACAGCCCAGGGCCACGGCTGATGGGGCCCTGCCTGGCTTGGGGGTGGGCGGGGCTGACCAGGGCAGCCTCCCTCCTGTCTCAGCCACCCAAGTCTCCTGTCTCAGTCTGTGGCCCGAGTGAGTGGGGACCGCTGCCCCCCGGGGACCTCTGCTGCCGGGTCCCCGGTCCCCGCCCTAGGGACCAGGCTCACGCCCTGCCAGACGCCCCCGCTCCCTGCAGACTGCGTCTCCCGCAGCCGCCTCTGCTCCTGCGTCCCTGCTGGCCTCCGTGTCCCCCTCTCCCTTTCCGGGTCAGAGCCCGCGGTGGGGAGGCAGCCCTTGCTGGCTGGCGTGGCAGGGCCTGGTGCGCCAGAGCAGAGCAGCCACGTCAGGAACCTGACCCCCCCGCCCCCCCCCGGTGGTCTGGGAGGGAAGGGCTGGCTGCACAGCTGTCCTGCGGCCGGGTCGGGGAACTCGCTGCCTCTGCCAAATACCGAAGCCCAGCTCGATTTCACACGACGTCTGCTTTTCCTGCAGCTCCCGAAATCCTCCGCGGCTGCGCCTATGGACCCGAGGTGGACATGTGGTCGGTGGGCATCATCACCTACATCCTGTGAGTGGGGGGCGCCAGGGCTGCTGTAGGTGCTTGGTGATCTGTTTCGTGCTGCACGCAGTCGGTGCTAGAATTTGCTGAGAACAAGCATTGCTTTTGATCCAGCGTTTTCGGGGGGGCCAGACCTTCTGTCCAGGCCTTCCCACGTCTGCGTCCACTGTGCAGTGTGTGGTGGATGTGGGGAACCTTCTGCCATTTGGCCAGGGCAATGCGTGTGAACCCCAAGTCCCCCTCTTGGCCTATTTGCTTCTCATCTAAAGTAATGAAACAGACAGCTCTCTGATGTCTGAAGCAGTCCCGAATCAGTCCTGCTTCTTAGATCAGGGCGAGTTTAAATGCATTTTCATCTGTGATTGTGTTTCCTCTCTCCACGAGGTAGCTGGGGGTACTGCCCTGTGTGAGTTCACCTGGGCGAGGGAAGTGGGTTTCACATCTCACTCTGGTATTCCCAGCTTCGCTTCTGAGCTGGGGTCTGATAACCAGGAGTTTCCAGAAGTTTGCCCGAGAGAGGCTGGACAGGCAGGTGCTGCCGAGGGGTCCGCCCACCGCGGAGAAGGGAGCCTGGTGGTTGTGGGATGACCACAAAGCAGGCGAGCCGCGTTTACTCCGGAGAAGCAGGCTTGGCTGCCAGTGGAACCTGCACTCGGGACGTGCTGAGAGCCTGGAGGGTTCCACAGGGGCTGAACCTGCCCAGGCTGCTGTCACAACACACGTGGGCTGGCAGCTCACGCCCCGGACGCCGGCCTCCTCCCGGCTCTGGAGGCCGCACGTCCCACACCAGGGTGCCGGCGTGACTAGGTTCTTGCAAGGGCCTCTTTCTGGCCTGCACTGCCTTCGGACGATGTCCCCACATGGCAGAGAGAGACAGGGAGAGCCCTGGGGTCCCTTGATAGAGGTTGCTGATCCCAGGAGGAGGGCCCTGCCCCCGGCCTCATCTAAACCTGTCCCTCCCAAAGGCCCGCCAGCACACACTCACAGGGATTGGGGCTTCACAGAGCACGCTCCAACATGGGAGGGACGTGGTTCAGCGAGGGCTCTGACATAAGACACTCGCACGGGGACACAGCTTGGCTAGGCTTTTGACATCAGACACACTTCAGCATGGAAAGGCTCGTGGTTCAGTGAGGGTCTGACTTAGGACACGCTGTAACACGTGAGGGTCTGATGACATGCTGTAACACGTGAGGGTCTGACTTAGGACACGCTGTAACACGTGAGGGTCTGACTTAGGACACGCTGTAACACGTGAGGGTCTGACTTAGGACACGCTGTAACACGTGAGGGTCTGACTTACGACACACTGTAACACGTGAGGGTCTGACTTACGACACGCTGTAACACGTGAAGGTCTGATGACATACTGTAACATGTGAGGGTCTGCTGTAACACGTGAGGGCTTGACACATGTGCTCTAACAGGGAGGGGTCAAGATTCACTTGGGGTTTTGGCATCCAACACATGCTGACACAGGAGACGCGGTTCGGGGGGGCTCCAACATACGACACACGCTGACACAGGGGACGCGGTTCAGGGAGGGCCGCGACGTGACACACGCTGACACAGGGACACAGTGGTTCAGCATGGGCTCCAACATACGACACACACTGACACAGGGGATGCAGTTCAGGGAGGACCCCAACATACAACACATGCTGACACAGGAGACGCGGTTCAGGGGGGGGCTCCGACATACGACACACTGTAACAGGAGGCCCCAATCTATTTCAGGGTCATTTTGGGTTTTTGCTCTTGGCAGGTGCAGTGTCCAGTGGTGTGGGCTGGTGTGGGGCAGGTGACCAGGGTAGGCCCCAGACAAGCCAGGCAGCGTTCTGGCATGTATCTGTCAGTGATACCCGAGACAGAAGGTTAGTCAGCAATCCGCAGACTAGCCCGTGCGTGGTTAGATGTCAGGCTATTCTCAGTGCTCAATTGCCTGTGACTGTAGAATGTTCTAAAGCTTGGAGAATTAGGAGAGGCCGAGAACCGTGCTTTTTGCATATGGGAGAGCACTAGTAGGTAACTTTGTTGGCCACACTAGGTGCTTCGTGCAGTGAAATGAATTGTGGGCCATTCCCAGCATCCCTTCTGCTTGTGTCTGAGGTGGGGTTCACGCCAGGGACAGCAGGTGACGACACACTTAGGGACAATCTGTGAAAAACTGAGTGGCACAAGCAGGGATTTGGGTTGGCCCTAAAACGTGACAGTTTCCTGTTGGAATGTCCTTGGGGGAGGAGTCTGTGGCATGAAAACATAAAGAACTTGGAGAGACAGGAGAGGAGAACTACGTCACATGCACACTGGAGTGTGGCGTGGACACCGCAGGGGAACCGTGTGATCGCTGTGAAGTGCTTTCCCGACCCTGAAGGCCAGCCTGGTGGTCTGGGTTCGTTCCTCCAGTCCAGCCTGGCGATCTGGGCTCCGCTCCTCCGGTCCAGCCTGGTGATCTGGGCTCGTTCCTCCGGTCCAGCCTGGCGATCTGGTCTCCGTTCCTCCAGTCCAGCCTGGCGATCTGGTCTCCGTTCCTCCAGTCCAGCCTGGCGATCTGGGCTCGATTCCTCCGGTCCAGCCTGGTGACCTGGGCTCCGCTCCTCCGGTCCAGCCTGGCGATCTGGGCTCAATCTTACAGTCCAGCCTGGCAATCTGCGCTCCGTTCCTCCCGTCCAGCCTGGCGATCTGGGCTCCGTTCCTCCCGTCCAGCCTGGTGATCTGGACCCCATTCCTCCGGTCCAGCCTGGCAATCTGGGCCCCGTTCCTCTGGTCCAGCCTGGCGATCTGGTCTCCGCTCCAGCCTGGTGATCTGGGCTCTGTTCCTCCAGTCCAGCCTGGTGATGTGGACTCCGTTCCTCCAGTCCAGCCTGGCAACCTGGGCCCCGTTCCTCCTGTCCAGCCTGGCGATCTGGGCTCAGTCCTACAGTCCAGCCTGGCGATCTGGGCTCTGTTCCTCCTGTCCAGCCTGGTGATCTGGGCTCCGTTCCTCTGGTCTGGCCTGGCGATCTGGGCTCAGTCCTACAGTCCAGCCTGGTGATCTGGGCTCCGTTCCTCCAGTCCAGCCTGGCGATCTGGACTCTGTTCCTCTGGTCCAGCCTGGCGATCTGGGCTCGATTCCTCTGGTCTGTTTCTGAACCACACGAACCGTGTCTTGCACTTACTCCTCTTCATACACTAAGGTCATCAACGAGGTGTCCAGGGAGCGTCGCACGCACCTGCCCTGGTTCAGGACGAGTTCCTGGGGACTTCTTCCTTAACCTGAACCTCCAGGCACCTGGCTCGGAGCCAGAGCAGGGCACAGCAGCGACGCACTGCAGAGCTGCAGCCGATGGCTCCTGGGAAGGCTGATGGCACCTTGACCCCAGTCTGTCCTCCCTCTCCCCCACCCGCCTGTTTCGCGGCCCCTGTGTGTGTGCACGTGAACTCTGCGGGTGCAGGCCGGGCCTCTGCCTGCCGCAGTGACCAGACCAGGAGCAGGGGCACCACCGCTCCCAGCTCAGTCCGCAGCTTCCAGCATTGTTTTCTGCAAACGGGCCTGGAGCTCTGCTGGGTGAAACACCCGAGCCACAGGCCTGAACACCCCAGCATCCCCCTCGGCTGCCATGGCTGGGATTTCAGTGTCACCGCCTGGAAGGCTTGTACGCCTGAGTGTGTGTGTATGTGCATGTGTTGTGCATGTGTGTTCTTACCTATCTCTGTGTTTACATGTGCATGTAGATTGTGTGTGTGTGTGTGTGTGTGCTGCTTGGTGTCGCATTTCTTCTCTGTTGGGTGTTTCAGGCTGATGCACCATGAACGTCCTATCATTATCAGAGCACAAAGTCACGGGCTGATGGAGATGACGGAAAAGGCGTTTGTGCACGGCAGCTTCTGAGCCGTCATTGTGTCTCTGGGTTTTCAGCAGGGGGGGCGCAGGGCCCCCTGACCTGGGACGCTGGCAGACTTGTGTGGGAGGAGCCAGCTGCAGGCTGCCCTTCTCTGGCGCTGCAGGGGCTGGGGCGGCCACAGGCGCCTGCTTCCCTCCTGGGCCCGCAGGGGCTCAGGGGCACGGAGGGTGGGTGGCTTGGCTCAGTCTCTGCACTGCCAGGCCTTGCCATTTCCGGGGTGCCCCAGAATATTCTGCCGAGACACAGACTAGCCCAGTGGGAAGTTCCGTTGGAGTCCCTCTCGCCATCAGGGGAAGATGTCATTTAGCTTGTTCACCCCCACCCCATGCCTTCTGCTGCAACACGTGCAGCACACACCCTGGCGTGATGGTCTTTTAGCTTATTCACACACACACATGCACACACACACGCACACACCCAATGCCTCCTGCTGCAGCACACACCCTGGTGTGATGTCTCTTAGCTTATTCATGCACACACACACATGCACACATGTGCACATGCATGCACACACATGCACGCACACACCCAATGCCTCCTGCAGCACGTGCAGCACATGTCCTGGCTTGGCCTTGCCCACAGTGCCGGTGGTTCCCTGTGAGTCCAGAACCTCCACCCACGCGCACACGGTGCAGGCGTGGAGTCCCCACGCAGCCGGCGACGCCTCTCGGGCCCGAGGTGCTGCGCTCCTGCTTTCCCCGGTTCCTCTGTCTCGGGAAGGGAAGGTGACCGGGGCGGGGCCCCGCCTACAAGGGGCTGCACAGCAGGAGCCCCGGCGGTGGTTCTAGTCCTGGCTGCTCACGCGGACTTCACGCTGCAGTGGACGGAAGCCAAACGGTGCGTCAGGCGTTGCAGAGAACCCCCTCCCCGCGCCCCAGAACCCTAACTCCTGCATCTGATGCTCACTGGGGCTCTGAGCCGTCCCTGTCTTCTCAGTTCCTGGTGCCCTGGTGACGCTGGTCCCTGCTGCGGTCCCTGTATTGTCATTCCTGGCACCACAACCCCCCCCCGTGTCGTGGTCCCTGGCACTGCCAACCCCGTGCCGCCACTCCTGGTACTCCCTAGTTGCTGGGGAGTGCTGAGCCGTGTCGTACCCTCTCACTTGCTCACCACCTGCTGTGGGAGTGCAGCAGGGAGCCCACACAGGGCCTGTGTAGACCCGGGATTCCTGCAGAAACCTGAGGAGATGCAGCTAGGCTGTTCGTGACGTCATGTTGCCCACGCTTTGTCTCTCTAGGCTTTGTGGGTTTGAACCGTTCTATGACGAAAGAGGCGACCAGTTCATGTTCAGGAGGGTGCTGAACTGCGAGTACTACTTCATCTCCCCGTGGTGGGACGAGGTCTCCCTGAACGCCAAGGACCTGGTGAGTGTGGCCGGAACTGGACCAGTTCCCGCGAATGCCGGCTTCCCTCTCACTGCGGGTGCGCACGGTGTGTGGATGCGCCTTCCGTACAGGCCGTGACGGTTCGCCGTGGTCTGACCCCTCACGTTACGGCACTGCAATCCGTGGGTTTTTGCTGCGTGGTCAGTCTGGAGCCCTGCTTGTGGAGGAAGCTGTGCGGGTAAAACCAAACACAGAAGGATCCTGTTTTAACGTGGTTGGCAGCGGTCTAACGGCTGGTGGACTTCACCTAAAATAAAATCGCTTCCCCAGATCCCATCCAAATGTTACCACGTTGGGACCGTGCCCCAGGTGTCTGCCTCGTGGGTCCACCAGGCCAGAGGCACGCTGTGCCCATCGCTGAGTGCTGGCTCCTCTCCCGAGCCGACGCCCACTAGGGAAAGTGCTCCTTGTGTCGCCCGTGCTGTGCGGGGACCACCCAGAGATCAGCAGGGCTGACACCCGAGTGGGTGCCTGTGTGCAGGTGGCTGGGAGGGTTGGGGCCACAGCGCTGGTGAGGGCGCCCACCAGCCACCCTGGCGAGACCCCCGTGTTCCCGGTCCCCTCGTTTCCGTCCATGGCAGACAATGGGGACAGGATGAGCGGTGGCCTTCCTCCGTTCCCAGCCAGGTTTGCCTCTCGCTGTACTGAACTCTGGAGCGGAGGGAACACGAGCCCCACACGCATGTTACTAGCAGGACCACGCGGCTGTCACTGGCAGAGGGGCAGAGGCTGCAGTGCTGGCGCGGGGGGGTCGGGGTGCGGGGGGCCAGGGGGCCGCAGCGAGGCCTTCCGCGAGCTGCCAGTCAGTTCAAGTGCAACCGAGTCTTCGAATGTGCTGACCTGCAGTAACCCCTTTGTTTTCATGATGGTCATGAGGAGGAGGAGCAGGAAGTAGGGGAGGGGCGTACTGGCTGTGAGGCTGTGGTGAGGGTTCGGTCTGGTGTGCATGATGCTGGCACACACGGTCAGGTTTTGGTTCCCTGCCATGCACCCCTCTTAACCTGTGCGGCCTGCTGCTGCCTCGTGGGGTTGAAGGCCGGGCAGCCTCAGGTCTGTGCCCTCTGCAAAGCCGGTGCGTCCTCCCAGACCCACGGGCGCTGGGAACCTCGCAGGAGCCAGTGAAAGGCACACGCACAACCCTCTGCTCCCGGACCAGTGTTGCCGCACTGGTCCCGCCTCCAGCTACAGAGGGGGCGGGCCCCAGACCTGAAGCCACCAGAGTGGCTCGGCTGACGCGGGATGTCTGGCGGCCTCACGCAGGATGGCAGGAAGCGGGTCTGATCCTCGCCCACCCCGGCAGCCCCAGACGCCCAGGCTGTCAGGAGGGTCCCCGCAGGCTTCGGGGGCCTCACGGGCGTGTCACGAGAGCATCCCGGGAGGGGCCCTGGCTCCTGCAGAGGTGTGTGGGGCCACAGGCGGAGGCGGAAGCGGGCTCACCCCCCTCTGCGCCAGGCCAGCATGGTCTTTGTTTCTAGCAGTTTACTATCCACTCATCTCACACACAGGAGCACCCTCCGGGCCTGGGCGCGGGCCGGCCCTGCGAGGCCCTGGCTCCTTCACTCTGGCTCTCAAAGGGCTCCTGCCACAGCTTGGGGCCCACTGCTCAGGTACCCCCAAGGGGTTCGCAGGAGCTGGAAGCGCAAGCCAGGGGGAGGGGTGGGTCCGCCAGGCAGGCTGGGCCCTCTCTGCCCTCAGAGAGCGGTGAGGCAGGGAGATTCCGTCAGCGCAAAGCTGTCCCCTGAGTTCCGAGTTCCGGGAGATTGTGAGGTGGGCTCAGGCCTGCTTCTGCCTTCAGAGAGCGCACAGCCCCCGGGCAGCCTGCACCTGTGTCCTGCAGCTCCGCGGGAGAGCAGCTGCCACTCCGAGTCTCAGGTGGCCCAGCACTCGCCCTGAAGCTGGCCCTGCCCACGGGAACCCCTGGGAGCTTAAGCCCTTTTGTCTTTAAAGATTGATTAATTTTTTATTATTTGAAAGTCTGAGTTGTGGGGGTGGGGCAAGAGCTATCCATCCTCCATCCACTGGTTCACTCCCCAGATGGCTGTAACAGCCAGGGCTGTGCCAAGTGAAACCCAGGAGCCCGGAGCTTCTTCCAGGCCCCCGACATAGGTGCAAGGGCCCACGGACTTAGGCCACCACTGCTCTCCCAGGCCATTAGCAGGGAGCTGGATCTGGAGCAGAGGCTGGGACTCCAACCGACACCCATATGGGGTCCAGAGTGGCCGGTGGCAGCTGAACCCTCTGCCCCGCAACACCTGCCCCTGGAGCCCTGTGCAGCGCGGGCGGCGCTCCGAGTGAGTGGTTGTCTGTCCTTTAAGGTCAGGAAGCTGATTGTCTTGGACCCGAAGAAGCGGCTGACCACCTTCCAGGCTCTGCAGCACCCGTGGGTCACAGGGAAGGCGGCCAACTTCGTGCACATGGACACTGCGCAGAAGAAGCTCCAAGAGTTCAATGCCCGGCGCAAGCTGAAGGTAGGATGGCCGGGGCTGGTTCTGCTTTAAAAAAACAAAGACGAGCGAGAGCGAGAGCTTTCTCTTGACGCGTGCCTCACGGTTCTACCGTCTTTGCTACGTGGGCACCTCTCAAAGCCTGTGGAACAGGCACAGCCTATTGGTCCCACTTTCCTGTGAACTTCCGGAAGTGCCCTCCAGCTGCTGTTCACTCCAGGGACACCCTGCTGGGACCTCCCCACACTGCGCCCTAAAGTCGCTGGTGACCACTGCCTGATGCAGGGGGAGGGATCCCGATGCGGGCCGTGTGCCCTGGGTTCACAGTCACAGGTGGCTGTCACCCCCTGCAGGGGGAGGGCTCCCGATGCGGGCTGTGTGCCTGGGTTCACAGGCACAGGGGGCTGTCACTGCAGGGGGAGGGCTCCCGACTTAGGCGGGGGGGGGGGGGTCACACAGTTGCGGGCAGCTGTCACCCCCTGCAGGGGGAAGGTTCCCGATGCAGGCTGTGTGCCCTGGGTTCACAGGCACAGGGGGCTGTCACTGCAGGGGGAGGGTTCCTGACATAGGCGGGGGGGTCACACATTGCAGGCAGCTGTCACCCCCTGCAGGGGGGAGGGCTCTCGATGCGGGCTGTGCGCCTGGTTCACAGGCACAGGGGGCTGTCACTGCAGGGGGAGGGTTCCTGACATAGGCGGGGGGGTCACACAGTTGCAGGCAGCTGTCACCCCCTGCAGGGGGGAGGGCTCCCGATGCAGGCTGTGCGCCTGGGTTCACAGGCACCGGGGGCTGTCACTGCAGGGGGAGGGTTCCCGACAGGGGCCGTGTGCCCTGGGTTCCCAGCTGCAGGGGGCTGTCACTGCAGGGGAGGGCTCCCGATGCGGGCTGTGCGCCTGGGTTCACAGGCACCAGGGGCTGTCACTACAGGGGGAGGGTTCCCGACATAGGCGGGGGGGTCACACAGATGCGGGCAGCTGTCACCCCCTGCAGGGGGAGGGCTCCCGACAGGGGCCGTGCGCCCTGGGTCTGGGTTTGCTCGCAGACTGGGATGCTGCCTCTCATCTAAGGGTGACTGAACGGGCAGAGTGGCGTGTTGTTCATGACACTGGCCTTTGTTAGAAAGTTGTTTCCTTCTGAATATGGGAGTAAATCTTGAAGCTCTGCTTAGTAACGAGTAGGTAACTACTTGGCCAAACTTGAGCGGCTTTGGTGACATAATCACAGAATACATCGGTCTTACGGAACACGGGATGGAGACTGGTGCTCTGCTGTCCCAGTGGTGCCGAGCCAGCCCCCTAAGCACGGGCTCGGAGACCGCATCCTGCTCAGCCGCTGCCACACTGCTTGAAGTGACAGTCACTTAACCCGGGGTGTCTCAAGTTCATTCGGCCATGCACCTGTTTCATCACCAGAGTTCCCACTGACACCAGTGTAACTGGGGTTCCGTGAGACAGACACTTTGGGAAACAGGCTGACATCGGTCTGATCTTCCGTGGGGACGCCCACCGACCCGGGCTCCAGCTGCCCAGCGGAGAGGTTTTCCTCGTCCCTCTCCAGCCTGCCCTGGGAACGCGCTCCCCTCCCCGAAGCAGGGCCGGGTGCGGCCCTGACCCAGCTAACACTGCACACTTCTCCCTCCGCCAGGCGGCAGTGAAGGCCGTCGTGGCCTCGTCCCGGCTGGGCAGTGCCAGCGGCAGCCATGCCAGCAGCCAGGAGAGCCACAAGGCCGGCCAGGAGCCCCCACCTGCCCAGGAAGGCAGTGAGGCCGTCGCCGCCCCTGCAGACGTCGAGGAAACCCAGGGAGCCGAGGCCCAGCTGGCGGCGGAGGGAGCCCAGGCGGAGCAGATGAAGGTGCAGGCCCCCGAGGAGGCAGGAGACGCTGAGGCGGCCCTGGAGCAGGGCACGCAGGCGGCCGCCCCCGCGACGGAGCAGGCTCCTGGGGAGAAGCTGAAGGCTGTGGACGAGCCCGCGGCCCCCAAGGACGAGCCGGAGAGCCCCGTGGCGGGACTGGGAGCCCCGCAGCAGGGGGTGGCGCTGCCGGAGTTCTAGGTGGCTCCTGCCTCCGGGAAGCCACCGCCCGCCCCTCCCCGGCCTTGGACGCACTTTGTCCTCCAGCAAGGCAGGTGTGGACGCATGCTACGCACTGTAGTGATTGTTTCTGAGGTGCAAATACATGTATACCAGTTGATCATCCTAACGTCATGCATGACTGCTTTCTGACAGTGACAGTGTCTTCTGAGGCATGGACGGGACCCCCAGGACCGATGAGTGACGCGTGGCACGCGTCTGGGTAGGGGCAGGGCTTGGCCTGGACTCCGCCCCCGTGACTTTCACTTTCCTTCCCATCGCTAGCATGTGCAGACTGTTCCCAAGGAGACGGTGGCAGGAGGCAGGGCTACACAGGTCAGAAAAGCAAACTCCATGTCCAGGGGTGAGGATGCAGCACACTTTCACGGGCACGAAACCAAGCAGCCCGAGGCGCGTGTGGGGAGGCCGCCTTCAGTCTTCTCTGCAGACGCCGTTGGTAGTCCCAGAGCCGCCGCTTCTCAGTCCTGGACCAGGTGTCAGACGCACACCAAGCCTCACGTGCGTCCAGCGTCCAGCGTTTCTGCTGGGCGAGGCCCGAGGGGAAGGAAGCGGAGTGAGGCTGGGCTTAGCCTCTCCAGGGAGCGCTGCCCTTCATGTCCCAGGCCGCAGGTGTCCGTGCCTGAGTGCAGCCTGACCGGAGAGTTTACAGAGAGCCTAGAATCGCCACATCCCAGGTCAGGTGTTTAGAAACGTCTCTCCCACGGATCGTTGCCAAAACCTCCGAATACAGTGGGAGAAGAGTCCGCTCCAAGATCAGTACTGACTTGATCAAAGGAAGGAACTGTTCACAAGCCCGTGTCCTGCACAGTGGACGGTGACACTGCTTCGACGCTGGCGATGCTACGAGGAGCAGTGCATCTCCTCACACTCGGGATGGACATGCCCGCATTTTACAGTGCAGCTCTGAAAATTGCCACATCAAGAAACTCGCAACACTGCAGTTTTTAAATTTACTTTAAAAAACAAGAACCAAAATGCTTTAAAATCTCACTGATTTCAAATAAGATTCTTGGAGTTAGAACATTTAGACCTAATATTGTGGGGTTTTTTTCCCAGAATATGATTTTTCTCTTTCATATAAACTTTTTCCTTATAGAAACCATAATTAATCTAAATAACTCAAATTTATAAGCTAATCTCAAAATTTTCTTAGTTTGTTGAAATGCATGCACATCTTATCAGAGTCATTATAGGGTACTTTTTTGATGAGTATCCTTAATTTGAAAAAAAATTATTTTCAAAGACCAAAATGAAGATAATAAAAGCAGCTATCATGATAAAATCCCCATCAAATAAGGTCTTAAATTTTTTTGGCTCTTCCTCAACACTTCCAGTAGGAAAATGGAGCTACAGCTCTGGCTCCTGAGGCGGCTGGCCGTCCTGGCGGGAGGCCCCAGGGTGTCTGTTCTTCTGTGCTCGCACCGTCCAGCAGAGGGTGCCCTTCCTCTTCCCTGTGTGTCCTGGCCTCCCTCCTCGGCGTTAGCATACCCTGTGCTTAACCTTTCAGACTCCCTTCTTGATTCCCATTTAGGAAGTCTGCCTCCTGGTGTACGTAACTGCTACCTGCGGTAAGTGTTCCATCTCAGGGAGCAATGAGGAAAGGGGCAGGGCCCGGTGAGGAAGTGGCCGTTAGGGGCGCCGGGACCCGCACCCCCAGGCCTCCCCAGTGCTGGCCGGCAGCTGTGACCTCTGCAGCCCTGGGAGGGGGGCCGCAGTGGCCAGCTCTGTGGGCTCTAGGACGGCACTGCAAACGCAGGCCAGGGTGCGGCAGACTCGCCTGGGGTGGGAGCATACGGCCGCTCCTTGGTGAGTATCAGTGTGAGGTCTGTAAACGGCCTCCTGAAAACCCACGGAGGTTCGAAAAACTCGGCTCTGAGAGTACCTAATTCAGTCACCTCGGTGGGAACCAAACATTGATTACGTCAGTTCCTAGAAAGCCCAGGTTGGGTTAATGATGTCACAGTGTTTTTTACACAAAGGCTGACCTACTGCTAGAAAATGTATCTCCAAGATGAGCTGAACAGTGGGAGCGTGCAGAACGTGGAGAAAACACTCCACAGCGTCCCTCCTGAGTGACGGGCGAGTCGCAGGGCAGAACTAGGTTTCAGGTTTGCACACCAGAGCTGTCGAGGCCGGCACTGCTGGATTTTATTTTGAGATGAGCTCGGATACAGAGCATCGGCGTCACTTCCACAGTGCAGAATCCTGGAGTCTCCCCCACTGAAGCGTCTGACCAGAACTGGCCTTTCCCAAGTGTCTGAGGGACACACAGATTGCAGTCAGAACAACGTGGCCGTGGACGGCATGGTCTGCAACAGGTGCTGTTTCTCAGAACACAAGCCACGTGTGTACTTTAAATTTCCTATTAGCTTCATTTTTAAAGTTACGTTTTAATCAAGTATACCCAAATTACATGAATTTATAGTCAAATGTTAAATATTTTGAATTCTTTATTTTTATACCAAGTTCTCCAAATCAAGAGTGCACGTGAGATCTTCAGTGCATCAAGTGCGTCAGCCTCTAGCTGGGCCAGCTGCACGCAGACTGGAGCACTCTCACTTGAAGCCAAATGACGCTTGCATTTCTGTGCTTAGATCTGAGCTGCCTGCACTTTTTTTACGCTGACGAGTTGGTAGGAGGAGAAAATGGTCCAAAAATTAGTCAAAAGCCATTGGCCACTCCTGCCTCAGACGTACCACAGAAAAGGGCTTCCCGACAGGATGGCACCGTGCCGGGCCTCGATAAACTGTCTACTGGCCACAGGCCCTCGGCCAGCCTGGAGCACCTGAGCCCTGACACAGCCAGGTGGTGCTGTCTACCAAACCACCCAGGGCCAGCCCTGTGTGTGCTCTCACAGGCCCAGCTCAGCTGGCTGTCGCCGTGTGGCCAGCACTAAGTCCTCAGAATCTGAGGTAACACCACAGGCACAAGACAAAGCTGCAGGACAACGGTGCCATCATGCCCGTGACCCCTAAACAGGGACATGGCCCCCGCTGGCCTGTTGGATGCTTCCCTAGGAGGGTGTGACCAACACTGCCGTTACACATGGGCTCACTGGAATTTCCTTACGTGCTGAGTTTACAGTAATCCTCGAGGCTCCGTAGTCAGACTGGCACCTGACCCGTATTTTAAGCCTGTGTTGCTCACCTCCTGTCGCCTCAGGCACTGGCGGTGTGTTGCCCACAGGATGAAGGTGGAAGGAGCTCTCGGGCCTCGTAACCCAGCTGACTGCACAGGGCACAGCCTGCAGGGCGCTGCTCTGGGCCGGCTCCAGGTGTGCAGTTCCCTAGCATTTAGAACATCCTTGTAAATACCGCGGGCAGGTCCCACGCGTTTCCTTGCCGTTCACCATCGACGTCTTCCTAATCAGGGCTGGTGCTAACACCTGGGAATTCACTGGTTGAATGCTGCTTATGGTCAGACTGTTCGTGTGAGTGCATGTTTTAAAATAATTATGTACATGTAATTCCGACACTGGTATTATAACCACGTGGTAAGCAGAAATGTACCCACTAATTTTCTACAACTTCTTTCTCAAATTCTTCTGTTCCCCGGACACTCAGGGTGAGTTTGTAGTTCATGGACAGAGCGAGAACGCACTGGGGAGCTGTGCTACCCACAGGGTAACTGAGTTTAGCCTTTCCTCCTGTATTTTGACCCAGTCAGGGCAAGTTTCTGTCATTATTACTTCCTGTGGCTACTACCTGAGATAATGCAAGCCCAGCTTATAAAGCCCAACCATTTCTGTAATTCTCTCGGACAGCAATAATGACTACTGTGATTGTTTGAAAAGCCAGTTTTCATAAATGCTCTGTGATGTATTCAAGACGTGTTGACTGCATGATTTTCATTTCCCTCAACACTCAAGTCAACTGTCCAGGCCAGAGGCCCACCAAGGGCACAGCAGAAGCCTTGAGGGTGTGGACCGCACGACTCTCTGCAGGCATGGACCCGACCACCTGCAGCTGAGCACCAGGGGCCCCGTGCTGCCTGCTTTTGGAGACTGCCTTGGGTGGCTGAAAGACGAGAAGCCCCGGATCGTCTGCACTTTCCCAGTCTTGGTCTGTAGCCGCTCGCCCTGGATCGGAGTTTGTTCTGTCCTGTGGCCATCGGGCTCACCTTCTAAGACTGTGAGTTCCTCCCAAACCCTGCCAGAAACTTCCCAGTCTAGCGAGTGGGGAGAGGGCGGGTGTCTGTCGGCCCGGATTTAAATCTCGAAGTCCACATAGGAATGCTGACTGCAGCATCACTGTTCCCGTGAGTTGTCGTCAGGGCATCCCCGAGGATACAGATCTAGTCTGTAGTCCACATCATCCAGTCTTTCATGCCTGCAGTGCACCTCGCATTGGGCGGCTGAGGACAGATGGCACACCCATGGCTTGGCGGGTTGTCTGGGCGGGGCACCCCTCACCTGTAGTATTTGGGTGGTACTCTAACAGGGGTGTGTGCTGAAGTAAATAGTTCCACATGCCACACAACACTTAACTGTCCTGTGTCCTGCACCTGTTGTGCTGTAGTGTCCTGTGAGGTCAGGGAGTGGGACGCCTGAACCAGAGGCTAAGTGATTCTTTATGCCCAAGGACCAAAGGGTGCACAGTTGTCAATCAGCAACCTGGGGCTGTTCTGCACTTAATGGTCTGATTTCCAGTCTTTTTATCTCTGACCGTGGAATTGTGCATAGAAAATGGGCCCGAGTTCTCCAAATCAATCCCCAAAGAACAGTTCTGAGGGTCACACAACCTGGGTCACGGAGCAAGGGCCCTGGTCACGGCCGCGCTCACCGTACTCACTGGTGGGTGGCTTGAGGGCTGCACTGGCTCTGATTCCCCTGGTCCTATGTCTCCCTGAGACCAGCGCCCTTTGTTCCTGACTTCACAGTATTCCCCAGGACTGGAAGTGATGTGGCACCCTTACTCAGGAACAAGAGGACGGCAGTTCTTCCTTCCAGTCCCCTGCTGTGAGCATTTTCCTTTCCTGTTTAGACATCCAAGAAGGGCTGTTCTGTCAGCCTACTTCTGTCACAAATTATTCGTCCCAAAATCTCTGCCTTGAGGGAAATGGCCGACTCTGCTACTGAAACAGCTATTCATAGCCTTTGTGCTTCAGTCTTGACTTTGAGTATCTGGAGCCAGAATAAAACCTGTTGCCAGCTTTCTGATAGGAGTATCTAAAGTTATGTCATGACTCTGAACAACATACCTTAAACTTGCAGTCATCAGTAGCGACAGAGCCACTGCAGAGTAGCCCAGGACTCGGGAATGAAGGCCTGAGTTCTTGGCCAGCCTTCACAGGTGTGGGAGGTGAGGCTCAGCTGGAAAGCAGTGGTTGTATTCTTACCTTAGAAACGAAGACCCCAGAGGATGGGCTTCACAAAGCACGCATCAAGGAAGTGATCTGCTGACTTGGACGTAACCTACGCCAGGAACCCTTTTCCCGGCATAGCTTCACCTGTGGTTGGTGCTAGGCCCAGGCAGCTGCAGGGGAGTGCATGGCAGTGGAAGATGCGGGCTCCGTGCAGGCGTCAGGGGCCACATCGTGGGCAAAGGCTGAGTCAGAGTGGAATCTGGCCTCCTCACTGCACTCTTATTCTGGGATACGAGCCCTGTGCACTGGCTAAGCAGGATACACCTGTGACGACAGAAGACTCGCCTCCGGAGCTGCTAGAGGGTGAGACGCTGGCCTGTGGTAACTCGGGTTTCCAGGTTTATAAGACTTTACTATTTAAAGATGCTGGTATCCATGTTGTGATGCCTGGCCCCACGCCAGTCCCAGCTTCTTGCTAATGCATACCCTGGGAGGCTCACCCTGGTGATGGCGCAAGTGGCTGGATCTCTGACACCCACATGCAGACCTGGAACGAGTCCCTGGCTTTGCGCAACCCAACCCTAGCTGTTGCAGCAGGCACCTGGGCAGCACACCAGGAGAACACAACTCATCCACCATCAACAATCAATTATAAAAGTGTCTAGAAATTTTTATTCAGATACATTTCATGGCCATTTAAAAACATTTTCATACTAATTCATGCCCTAATATAATTTACTAGATCATAAAAGAATGATAAACTTCTTAAAAATAAAATCTATGTATTATACAGCTTTCATTGAATTGCCAGAGATGATTTTCACACTTAACTATAAAGATAAAGTCTTAGAGGCAACATAGTAATAACGAAATTATAATGTCCTTCTATGCTCAGGCCACCCTCCCAGTGTCTCTCCCAAGCTAAACAAGAGACACACTGAACACAGAGGTTTGGAGGCACCTACGGAATCCAATACATCACAGTGATCTAGGAGCAGCCACAGCTCCCATGTGCATTCGGGGGGGGGGGGGGGTTTGGGCATAAAGTATGTAGTTAGAGTTTGCAGCCTGAGGCGGTAAAATGTCCTCCCATTAGAAAAAGACACGGGAAGGACACAGTTCTAGTAAGTGGGACATCACGTGACGCCACACAGAACTTCAAGAGCACTGAAGAGATGTCTAACATTTATGATCTCTAGCATTTTATAACTGTAGAATGTTCAGTTCTCATTTTTGCTATTTTAAGCTTCAAGGGTTAATGAGTTATCAACACATTTTATTCAAGAGTCACAAGTCTTTTTCTTGTATGTTAAAGTAGGTACTATGTACTAAACATAGCACTAGGGCAAATATTTCCAACACATTTCTGATGCAGCCTAAGCCATAAGCTCTGGAAAATAACCAACCACCTCACCACCAGGCCAACACCACCCTATCAAAAATTATCTTCAAAGGAAAATTTTCTTCTGGTAAATACTAATTGATCTCTTAGCAAGCACTGAAGGCTCTCTCCTTGAGAAAGTAACTCCATGAAATTGTCTGCTTCTTCTCAAAGCAGGACAAGTCAAGAGTCTTGTACTTTGGAACTGCTTTTCGGGCAAGTACCACTGGCACGCACAGTGGGGCGAATCCCTGTCAGTGAAACGGAAGACTAGGAGCATCTGAACAGTTTGGTACACTGACTATATGCTGAAATGATAACTATTTTGGATATATTGAGTTAATTAAAATTTTTGCTATTCTCTGCATAGCTGTAGAAAATATAAAATTATACATCTGTCTCATCACCATGCCTACATAGCAGACTCGATTATGTTAATATCAATCCCAACCCACATGGGTGAATTTATCATTATGGTATATGAGATTAGCATTCAGTGCATTTTCACACAGCACCTGAGCTTAAAACCAAACCCTAACGCAGCCATGTTCCCATCTGCCCTGGCACCCCTTAGTCTGTAGCAGGCAAAGAGGATTTCTGGGTGATAGAAAGATTCTAAAAAGAAAAAAAGTCACTAATTACAGACTTCCAAGGGGTAAACTGAATATTTGTAAATTATATCTCAAAGCTATTTTTGAGAAGAGTAGAGCTACAGCCCAGTAAATCTAAAGTGCCACCTGGAAGCTAGATATGTTAGGTGACTGAAATACACTCCTGACTTGATATTAAGCTGTGGTGAATTTTCATTGTGGCACTAACACTCACTGGCGTGGGAGAGAAGGACAACAGACCCCAGATTAGCTGTGGAGTTTCTCGGCAGCCCCGCCCGTGCCTCCTCCTCCTAGACAGACAACCCTAAGAGACCTCCTGTACGCAGGCAGGAAAACAGCCAAAGCTTACGTTGAGCAATTTCCAAAGGAAACTGAAAAGTACACTGATAAACTTTTTCCCCAGTGCAGAAGAAAAGAAGTTACTCAATTTAGAAAGGGATACTGGTGATCAATGAACCTACAAATACAGATTCCTTTCTGCATTGCTTCTGTCAGATGTTACGACACATTATTTTTCAAGCCGAAAACCAGAATAGTCCTTAAGACGATCGTTAGAACACCAGCATATTCAGTAGTCAAAAAAAGTTTCACTTTGTCAAAATGGGTCTAAAGATTCTCATTTTCACCAGAAGAACAGAATAGAGCAGAACACACCCCAGACCATCATGCACTGGGGCCAGTCCAGCACATCGGTACAAGGAGAATGTGAGTTTGCCAGGAACTTGTCCAAGCTCACTTTATCTCCTGTTAGCCTCCAAAAACCAATGAGGCAGTGGAAGCAGTGACACTGAATGCTGACATTCTTAACATGCACTGAGTTTCTCATTTTAGAAATAAACTACAAGGTGGGCAGCAGTTCAAAAGCCAAGGAATCACCTGGAATGTTCATTTAAGGAAGCCAGGGAACCAAGAAACCCCTTACAGCCCCTTCAAGCCATAATTATAAAAGGCCACTAGGCACTCGGACCCATCTAAGAACGCACTTGGTACAGTTCCAGACTGGAGTGCCATGACAACTGGGACTACTCACGATGCCATCTGAGAGGAGTGACATCAGACAAGAGCACGCACGCAGCCTCTGCTGACCCAGACTTTCTAGGGATGACTGTTGGTACCTGCGGCCGCCTCAGAGCCCAGCAGCCAATGTGCTGTCTCCAGGGCACACCCGGCAGCTTTTTGGATTATAGTATTGATGCATAAATGGTTTAAGACAGAAGCATATTAAAAAAAAAATTTTAAAATATATCCTTAAAAGTTGCTATACAGTTATCAAAACTAAATTGCATTTAATTGTACCTGCAGTTATCTGATACCTTCTCATTTGGTATCTTTCTCATTTTTGGTCTTTTCAAAACAAAGCAGTAAAAGTCCATCCACAGTAGTGCAAGTCAATCACCAAGATAACCTTTATAAAATACAGAGAAGTGCCTTTTTCTTTTATCCAAGATACGGGCAGACTTGGCGCTACCAAGAGTAAAACCCTGATATTTAACTTCAAAAACAAAAGTTTGCGAAATGTTCATAAGCCTCTAACACAGATGACTTTAAGCTAACACGATGAAGCTTGTGCTGTCTCTAATGTCAGTCCCTTAAAAGTGGTCACAGACCCACATCTCCAGCGTGTGTACTCCTGTCACTCTCCATCCCTAGACACACTGCAAGCCAATCAATACACAATTAGCTGAGGAAGTCACAGTGCCCTCTCCTAGATGGCTGTTTACTTTAGGAATAAAGTCTTCACTACCGAAAACATCTCAAATGTGTCTACAGGCCATACAGATTTTTACAGGCCCTGCAGCTGAGACAAAGAGCAACACGGGGTGGGGGGGGGGGGTGGATCATGGCAGTACACACGTGAACCTGCTATGGGTTCCGCAAGGCTTTCCGCAAGTCTCCGTAGAAGTTGGTAAGCGTGCTTGCCATGGCCGTGTCCACCGCAGACTGCGGAACCATCCCACGCAGGTCTGTCTGAATGTAGCCTGTCAGCAGGCTCTGGTGTGGACTCTCCTTAAGTGGAACACAAAACCAGCCACAAGGATGGTTATATCCACGAACAAATTCTGGTCTCTTTTCACTCCAGTCAAGACTTATCCCTACAAGGCAATTTTAAAATAACATGAGTAATGATTGACACTGGTCTGAAACTCTCATCAAAACATATTACCAAATTATCTAATCTTTTATTATTCATAGATGAAAATTACGCCCAAGAGTGACCATGACAGTGAAAAATATTAACTACCTAGGACGATTCTGGCAGGGGGCTGGTACATGGGAGAAGGGGAAAGCTCCAACTTCATCAGAATAAATGACTTCCTGTCCCCTGGTACCTCCTTGGAAACCACAGATCTTCACTACGGCAGCCCAGCCTCAACTCAGTGCCAGTTAGGAAATCTATGGAACCACGATTCCCCCAGGCACAACCATACCTGATGTTGGACTCGCTGGTTAGGGACACTGACCTATGACTGCTTAGAAACCAGCAGCCTTCCGATGGCATTTTTCATCTCTAACAGCACACACAGCTCCAAGCAGGAGGCATGCTGTCACACACACCGGGCCTACACCCTCCAGATCTAGGACCAAGACGCTCTTCTCTGAGCACTGGAGCCCTTTCTCAGAGGTAGTCATGTGATCCACTTTTGCCATCTGTGACTCGGGAATGCTATTTAATTGGGAACAAAAGCTAGAGATTTCAAAACCCCTCCTGACATTATTTTACAACCTAGCAGCTTCAACAATAACCTTTGTGACTACAGAGTCACCGTGGGGCCTGAAAATACATCTCATATGTAAGGAAACAGGCAGACTAGAAATCTTGGGTATTTATATAACAGGTCTCGAGATTATTACCACAAGATAAAAGTCCTTCTTTATAGCCCACAGTGTAGGAGAAATCCACAAACTCTCTAGGAGAAATGATGTTCCAAAGCTGGCCAGCAGTCGTGTAACGCATCACACAGCAGTTCTGAAAGAGAGAGGAGACGGGGGTTCCACCGTGGGAACAGATTCACACACCACAGCAATCTCTGGTAACAAACTAACGCCAGTTAAAATGCTTCGAACTTAAGAGTGCTTGCAGTTCAGAGACTGACAGGCCCACAGCCCTATTCTGAATCTCACTGCTGTTATGTGCCTATGAGCAGAGTAAGTAATCAATGCCCAAAGCCCAAGGCCCCCAGTGTCCACATCTAATGCCGTCAACTGCTCGGTCTACAGAATACCCACAGCGTCTCAGGAGGCCGAGATTCTTCCAGAACATTTAAAAATCCGAATACGTTGACCACACATCAAGTGTTTTAATTAAAAAACCGAACATGGCAAAAATGAATAAAAACAAAAAGAACAAGCCATTTTTGTTACCTTTTTGAAGTATTTCTTTATTTGAAAGAGCGACAGAGAGGAGGGAGAGATCGACCTTCCATCTGCGGATTCACTCCCCAGACAGCTAGGCCCAGCGGAAGCCAGTCACTTCATCCAGGCCTCCCACATGAGCAGCAAGGACCCACGAATTTAGACCATCTTCTGCTGTTTTTCCCAGGCCATCAGCATGGAGCTGGAGCAGAAGTAGAGCAGCCAGGACAAACCAGCACCAGAGGAGGCAGCTTCACGCGCTGCCCTGCTACCCACCTCATTCTTTAATGCTTGCTGTCATCACCTGTGGCCTTTGTCGCTTAGTAAGGATGGAAACCCTACACACAGAATGTAGAAATCTTAGTGCTGGAGATTCTCTTAAGCCACAAAGGCAGAGCTGCTGTGGAAAACAAGCTCCGCTCTCAGACTCATTAAGTAACAGCGGGCGCGCACACTTGCTGCATGACACAACAGGCCTCCCCAGGGCACCTCTGCACCTGCGAGCCCATGCTCACACCGGGAGCTACTGCTGTCAGCTGGCCCAAGTCTCCTGGCCTCCAGCATCTGACCTTCCCCAGAGCCTCAAACGGAAGTGAGAGAGCGAGAACCTGAGAATTAAAACCATGTGAAAGAGACTCTGACAGCAGAGAACAGCTTTAAGTGGGAAGATGCTACAAGACTTGGACAACCTTCATCAAGGGTTGGCATCCAAGGCCTAAAAGTGTGTCATCCAAGATGATGACTGCTGACATGGCTGCCCCTGGTGCTGAAACTGAGGCGCCACTGGAGGAGACACCGCGGTTTGCTGATCGAGTGTCGGCACTCCGGCACACACACCTGGAGCGCTCTCTGCAGTGGGTGCAGTTAAGGAAGAAGATCTGAAGCTTACATCAGAAGCCATCTCCTGGACAACACACAGAAAGCCTCAGGTCAGCTTCCAGTGGTTTCAAACGGACACAAGCGAAAGAGGAGGAGACCAAAACCCCTTCTTTCCCTTAAAACTTCTGAAGATGCCCAAAGTTGCAGTACCTTTATTTGTGGCTTCACAATATTTCTGAAGATCATATCAGATGTAGGCAAAATTAACTATTTAACTAGAGATTTCCACAAGTTTGCGTATTATGCTAATCTATCAAACCATGCAAATGCAGACATAATTAGAATTGCATAGATTTACAGCACTTGAAGATGAAATGTTTTATCAAATTTACTTTGATTTATGGGCTTAGTACTGTCTCATTATAGGCTTAGTAAGATATGTAAGAAAAGCCCACCATGTTGTGGAAAGTGACCAGAATCATGTCCTGAGTGCACAGCTCTATGTACCTGTCCACCATGCTGTGCCTCTTCCATTCCCTCCCTTCCCCCCAAGAAAACAGCTTGACATCTGAATGTAATTTTAATAGTTACTCACCACTTAACCAAAATAAGATACTTTCTCAGCTAGGGTTTGTCATTTGTGATATTTAGTAATAAGAGAGGATTGCTGGTTTCTCTTTTATCAACTGAAAACAGATGGAGACTAAAAAAATTATTTTCCTAGAAAGTGAATTGTCAGAATTGTTAAAAAACTTCCTTTTGTACAAGATAATCCACTTGGTATCTGTAAAGACAGGAGTTCTAGTCGTGTGTATTTAAAAACAGAAAATTTGGGGCCAGCACTGTAGCACAGCAAGTTAAAGCCCTGGCCCAAAGTGCCTACATCCCATATGGACGCTGGTTCTAACCCCAGTTGTTCCTCCTCCGATCCAGTTCTCTGCTGTGGCCTGGGAAAGCAGTGGAAGATGGCCCAAGTCCTTGGGCTCCTGCACCCACGTGGGAGACCCGGAAGAAGCTCCTGGCTTTGGATCAGTGCAGTTCCAGCCGTTGTGGCCATCTGGGGAGTGCACCAGAGGATGGAAGACCTTTGTGTCTATACTTCTCTTTTTCAAATAAGTAAAATAAATCTAAAAAAAAAAAAAAAAAAAAAAAAAAAAAAAACAAAAACAAAAAAAAACCCAGAAAAATCTTCAGGAAAAATAAACTAGGTTGTAAAAGTACTTGGTAAACAAAATAGTGAAGCAGTTCCAAATGTTTTCACTCCAGATTTGTGTTATCTCTAGTACAGAGTAGACATTTTGGGGAATATATATGAAAATGGATTGTTTAAAACCTTACATAGCCACCACTGGAAGAAAACAGTTACAGAGAGTTTGGTCTCAAGGTTATCTGCGGTGCCCAGCAGATCAACTACAAAATTCCTTGAGCATTTTAGTATCAGAATCATGAATAAATTGGGAGAATTTCACAAGTGTACTAATTGATGATCTTGCTCAGTATTTTATCTTGCTTGTTCTCCCAGAATTTTCTGTAAATCAACTTTGTTTACAGAGTTTTCATCATCCTTACACAATTTTTTAAAAATTTAGTTTGCAGATTATTTGGTAAGGGAATAATCAACATCAGAAGTAATATTAAAATGTTTTAGGAAAAGAGATCAAATAATAGAGTTTATTATTATATCCTTTAATCATGGAATAATCTTATGTATTAATGTAAGATCTGATGATTGACATTAGCTGTATGAATATTTAATAGTTGTACCGCAAGCATTTTGGATCCTTTTTATGACCTAATTGACAAATATTTAAATTATGGTGCAATTATGCCTTGATACTTAATAAAAAGCTGTTTCAGAAAAAAAAAAATGCTCACACCCACACTCTCGTTCCCACAGCAGAAGCAATGTTTCTTGGGCCAGTGCTGTGGCATAGTTGACTAAGCCTCCACTTACAGCACTGGCATCCCATATAGGAGCTGGGGTTTGTGTCCCAGCTGTTCCTCTTCCTAACCAGCTCTCTGCTCACGGCCTGGGAAAGCAGTGGAAGAAGGCCCAAGTGCTTGGATCCCTGTACCCACATGAGAGACCCAAAGGAGTCTCCTGGCTTCTGATTGGCTCAGCTTCGGCGGTAACAGCCATCTGGAGAGTGAATCAGTGGATGGAAGACCTTTCTCTCTGTCTCTCCCTCTGTAACTCTACCTCTCAAATAAATAAAATCTTTAAAAAAAAAAAGTTTCCCAATAGTTACCTCTTCAAAGTGCTTCAAAATATCCAGTGAAGTCATTAAACTATCCCAATTCAAGCGACAGGGCCCTGGACGGATATGGTCGACTACGGTATTGACAACGTCATCTATAACACCTTGGGCTTTGTAGCTAGAGAAGGAAAAAAATGAAGTCAGATGTCAGTAGAATAAAAACTTCAGCATGCTCTTAGTTCAGAGCTAACTTTCAAATCAAGAGTAAAAATTAAAAGGGACTGAATTCCAACAACTCCCTAAGTTTTCCCAATTATTTAGTTAAAATAACGCTTCATCCGAAAAGCTAGTAATAAAACTGAAAGTCTTCATGGCAGAGTAGCCACAAAGTCCACAGAACATGCAATGCTCCACCTGTATATTATTATTTCTTCAGAAACCTCACTATATTAGTATATGTGTATTTTTTACCTTTTTTTTTTTTAGGATTTTATTTGAAAGGCAGAGGGGGAGAGATAGCGAGAGAGAGGTTTTCCACCAGATGGTTCACTCCCCAAATGGCCACAACAGCCAGGGGTGGGCCAGGCCAAAGCCAGGAGCTTCATCTTGATCTCCCACGTGAGTGCAAGTGTCTAAGCACTTGGGCCATCCTCCACTGCTTTCTCAGGTTCATTAGCAGGGATCTGGATCACAAATGGGGAAGGCAGGACTCAAACCAGTACCCATATGGGATGCTGGCAGAGGCTTAACCTCCTATGCCACAGCGCCGCCCCCTTACCCTGACATTTAATTAAACAAACAACAACAACAACAAAACCCTCCTATTAAGAAGGGAAAAATCGATTCATGAATCTTTCAGAACCCAACTCATTTTCAAGGCACATTATACATCACTGGGGAAGAAGGTACTCTTCCATAAATGGTGCTAAGTTGGGTAGTTATACTTACAAAGAAAATAAAACCTGGACCCCTCTTCTATACCATTCAAAACAATTAAATCCAAAGAGATTCAACAGCTCTGTATAAAATGTGAAACATTAAAACTAAGAAGAATGTGAGACTTCTATGATCACAGACTCTAGGAGGATTTCTTGAATCTGTAAAAGCACAAACCGGGCGGCACTGTGGCTTAGTAGGCTAAGTCTCTGCCTATAGCACCAGTATCCCATATGGGCATCAGTTCATGTCTCACTTGCTCCTCTTCTATCCAGCTCTCTGCTATGGCCTGGGAAAGTAGAAGATAGCCCCATGCTTGGTCCCCTGAACCACATGGGAGACTCAGAGGAAAATCCTGGCTCCTTGGTTCAGATCAGCCCAGTTCCAGCCACTGTAGCCATTTGGGGAGTGAACCAGCGGATGGCAGACCTTTCTGTCTCTCCCTCTGTTGGTAATTCTACCTCTCAAATTTTTTTAAAACATAAAACCACAAATACAGAATACTGGTTAAGATTAAAGATGTACATACCATACACAAAAACAAGTAATTTTTTAAACTAGCCACAGACTGTTGGAAGATATATGGAACACACAGAATTGTTCATGGAGGACACAGGAACAATTCCTATAAACCAATGAGAAAAAGACAGTGCAAAGAACCACTAGGGAAGGACATAATAACCAGAGATGTCAGTAAATATACACAAGATGCTCTCTTCACTCATAATCAAGTAAGTACAAGATGCCATTCACTAAGACTCTGCAGATTGGCAGATATTAAAAACGTAGTAACAAATATTAATTGAAAGGGGACAAGAATTCTTAAACTGCTGCTTTAGAGAACTTGGCAAAGTCTAGTAAAGTTGGATGTTGGACAACCTGAAAACCCAAAGAAAATCCCACAGATGCAACAGGAGGCAGTACCAAGAGGTCTGCTTTAACACTGTACTCAAGAGACAAGAATTGACAGCCCGAGTCCATCAATAGGCAACTGCAAACAGATACACACTGTGGTTCTGGGTTCTCTTAACCCCTTTCCCTCCACGGTAGCTAACTAGTCACCATGGTTTATCAGGATGGTCTAAAGCGCCGAGAACAACCACCACCATAAGCACCCATCTCTACCACCACTGCCGCACTTAAAATGGATCCACAACTGTGCTACCTATTTAGCCTGTTTCATAATTCAATCATTCAATTGAGTCAAGCTATATATAATTTTAATATTTTAAATAATGCTGTGATAAAACTGCAAGTACTTAAGTCACTAGGAACTTTCTGATGATTTCTTCAAGATAAATTCCTACAGAGTACCAGGAGGGCCATGCACACTATGCTAAGAGACCAAGATTACATCAGACATCCAGTGTTACTGTGATCACCTCACACCAACTCAGGCCATAAAAGACATGGATACTCTTAAGGCTTTTAAGTCATAATGCCAATTTGCTTTTCAAAATCCTTAAAATTTTAAAGGCAAAATTTACCAGCAATGGTATTTAGTGATTTTGTATTATGTGTACTTCTATTGATGTTTAGCAGTGTCTTGAGTTACACAAAACTGTAGGAATTTACTTACAGATATCCATTAAATTCTTCTGAGGGCTTTCTCCAAACTGTTACATCTTTCTAGAAAAATGAAAGCATTATACGGTGATAATTACATAGATGGAACCATAGATACAAAACTGACAAGTTCATGAGTCTAGAGCTTGTCTTTCAATTAAACGTAAAATTCTAAAAGATACATAAAAGCCATCTATGAAGTGACCCACATGTGAGTTCTCTCTAATTTAAAGTTCTTCACATTTGGACTCAAAGATGACTCAGTAATGGCAGAATCTCAGTGGCCACCGAGACCCGCCTCAGTCCAGTCTTATCCATGTATCGCTGAGACACTCAGACTACAATACTAGAAACACTAAACATTTCACTCTGAAATTGTTTATGCTTCAAAAAAATTAACAATTCACATTATAACCTTGACACCTAGAGTTAGCTCTTCATTTTTTCCACCAACCATCTCCCAGTTAATTTTGATAATCAATGGCTTGAGCACAGAATACCCAGGAGAGGTAGAGCAGAGAAGTCGTAGGCGCCCACGCTGTCTCCATCAGTGCTCAGTGTGGCGATCAGGTGTCAGACTGGTAGAGCAATCCTACCACCACCCAGCCTTGACATCGGAAACTTCCAAACCATCAAGGACTACACTTCCCTAAACTAGCAACGACACACCTCATTTACTAAGAAGCTGTTTGACTCTGGCTTCCATGAGTCCATTCTCCTATCTCCTACCTTCAGAGCTAATGACAGCAGTGCAGAATTCCCACGGATATCTTTTCTTGCTTGTGGGATGTTAGATAACCCACCCATCTGACAGCTGTCTATCTTCTACAGCCATCCAAAGTGTGCTCTCTTCCCAGATGAAGCTCCTGACTTGTGCCAATTTGGGGAGTGAACCACCAGATGGAAGATCTAACTTTCAATCAATCAATCTTTAAAAAAAAAAGTGTGGTCTCGTCTCCACATTTTCCCATATCATTTTGAACAATTCACTAGACAGAAGACACATGCATCCCACACATATGTAGTGAGTAATGGGATTCATTCTTACCGTTTTCTTCACAACACGCCACTGATCGCTGTCAATGCTGTGGTACTGGATGAGCGTGTTTTTAAGTTTAGTCGAAAAGGTGGCAGCATCAGGCAGGCTTTCCATTTGCTCTCTCTGTTAGAGACCAAGATCAGCATCAGCAACACAGCAGTTAAGAGGCAGCAGACCAAGGTCCCCCATCTCTGCACAAAGGAATCACCTGGGGGGGGGGGTCCTCACCTCAACCTACCGGAGCACAGACCTAGCAGAACTTTCCCAGTGGCTTCCAGGTGGGAACCATAGCCAGGGACGAGAACCACACACTCTGACAGCTACTAAAAGGACTCATAAATACATACATTACATAAATATTAACAGTCAATAAATGGATGGGAGGACACAGGAGGCTGGATTTCTTACACATGGGGGGCTAATTCTCAAATACTTACTGCCCACTCTGTCTCCCCAGTGAGGTCCACAGTCCCAGTTCCAGTAGTAAAGAGATCCCTACTCACACCAGCAAACCCCAACACCTCCAGTGTTCTGATCCACTGGGTTCTTCAGGGGTCACAATGGCCAGTCTTGCTGCTGACTCTGGGTCTCTGCATCAGCTGCTTCTCTGGACTGCTGATCACAAATCCTACCACAACCAATAATCTGTAACGTCAATTTCAGTTAAAGCCTCCCTGGCTTCCTGCCACACGTGCGGGAGATCCAGATGGTTCCTGACTCCTGGATGCAGCCTGGCCCAGCCTGCCCAGCTCTGGTTACTGCATCTGGGAAGTGAACCAGCAGACGGAAGATCTCTATCTCAAATAAATAAAAAGTTAAATTAAGTAATTTCTTTGCTGGTGTACTCTTCCCTTTGACCACTTTATCGCAACTAACAGAGCACAGGTCCCTGTCCACTTTTTCACCATTAGGTGCTTAGCCTGGCGCACAGCAGGCCCTGAATAATGTGGTTGAGTGTCTTGCTTCAAAACAGACATGATTGTGGTATCACTTTGTATTCTCTTGGCACTAGGGTACCACTTTCTTAGCATAATTCCTGCTTTTCCCAATACTCTCTCTATTCTACCATTCATTAAAAGACTAAAAGAAATTTTGGGGAAAAAATTCCCATCACAGTTATTATGGTGAAAAGGCACACTGATTTTAGCCATGAGAAGATTCCAGGAAAACAAAGGACCAAGTTCTAAGGGACAGCTGGAGAGAGGTTTGCAGAGGAGAATGGACAGAACACAGACTCCAGGGAGCAGCCGGGGGGGGAGGAGGGGGGACACGCCAGAAGATGGCAGCAACCCACCAGCAATTCCCACGGCACAATCTTCCCAGGGCAAGAGGAGGCAACTGTGGCCCACACCACTGGGGGGTCTAACTGAGGGAGAGCTCCAGTCCTCACTGACTACGTCCACCCCGGGGAGCTGGCGGGACAAGGTGTCCACGTAGCCCACTGAAGGGAGGCCACGTTGCCTCCTCCCCTCCCCTCACAAAGCGCCAGGCTCAGTGTGCTGAGGCAGAGCTGCAGCTGACCTCTGTCCTGACTCTGAGTGGGAGGTTGCTCACTCCAGGGACAGGGAGGCTCACGGCGGGGAGAGCAGACCCTCCGCTGCCTGTGAGAGGTCTGCCCAGGCCACACAACGGAAGACGGTATAAAGTGTGGCTGGATTCCAATTCCAGAAGTCATACTACAGAGCACACGGGTGCTCTGTGGATCATGTCTGAGTGGATGGAGTGCGTGGACTCTAGGCAGTGAGTCACCTGGTTCACCACGGCCAGAGATTGTGACCACGCCAGCCGCGTCAACACCCCTCACACTCACTGATCACAGTCAGAGGAGCTCCACTACACTCAACTTGGGTGCCACTCTGGACTCTGAGTCACCCACAGTGGCCAGAGCGCCCTGGCCCTCACCCAGCACACAACTCCGGATCCCTGACATAAGCTACAGGCATTCCCCAAGCCAGAGGCACTTTCCAAGAAGAGAGCCTTCAGGAAACAACAGATACAAAGTCAACAAAGACATCCAAGACACATAAACAGGACTCTCCAAGAGAACACAGTAATACAGCAGTATTGGACTGCAAAGACAGGGAGACTGATGAAATGCCTGAGAAGGGATTCAAAAGAATGGCTGTAACCTCACTCAGAAACACAAGCAGTTGCATGAAATAAAATCCATACATGCCACAGATGGAGAAATTCAGCAGATAGAAATACTAAAGAAAAATCAAACCAGGGGCCGGGGCTGGGGCTCACTTGGCTAATCCTCCATCTGCGCTGCCGGCATCCCATATGGGCACCAGGTTCTAATCCCAGTTGCTCCTCTTCCAGTCCAGCTCTCTGCTGTGGCCTGGGAGGGCAGTGGAGGATGGCCCAAGTGCTTGGGCCCCTGAACCTGCGAGGGAAACCAGGAGTAAGCTCCTGGTTTCGGATCGGTGCAGCGCCAGCAGTAGCGGCCATTTGGGGAGTGAACCAACGGAAGGAAGACCTTTCTCTCTGTCTCTCTTATTGTCTGTCAAATAAAAAGAAAAAGAAATAAGCAAAATTGATACAATCACTGATCCAACTAACCACAAAAAGGGAGAAGATGCAAATTAATAAAATCAGATATAAAAAGGAGACATTACAACTGATACCACAGATATTTAAAAAATCAGGAATTATTACAGACAGCTATAGGCCAACAAATTGGAAAATCTAGAAAAAATGGGCAGATTTCTGGAAACATACGATTCACCAAAATTGCACAAAGACATAAAATCTGAACAGACTAATAACCAAGGCCGAGACTGAATCAGTAATAAGGAGCATCTCAGCAAAGAAAAGCCAGGAGTGGACGGCTTTGCTGCTGAATTCTATCAAACTTCTAAAAAATAACTAACTAATCCCAATAACTCTCAAGCTATTCAAAATAACTGAAAGGGAAGGAATCCTTCCAAACTCTCTTCAAGGCCAGCATTACCTTAATTTCATAACCAGAAAAAAGATACTATAGAACAGTATCCCCGATGAACATGCATGTAAAAATCTTCAATAAAATACCAGCCAATTAAATCTAAAATCGAAAGGATCATCCATCTGGATGATCTGAGATTTATCCCAGGGATGCAAGGATGGATGGCTCCACAAATGCAAAACAGCAAATGCGATACATGACACCAACAAGATGAAGAACAAAAACCATATGGTTATTTCAACAGTCGCAGAGGAAGCATTTGATATTGATAAAATACAACATCCTTTAATGATAAAAACCTTAAAATCTTGGATATAGAAGGAATATACCTCAACATAGTCAAGGAATGTATGACCAACCCAGAGCCAGCACCACACTGAATGGGCAAAAGTCAGAAGCATTTACACTAAGATTCAGAACAACACAAGGATGCGCACTTTCACCATTACTAGTCAATGTAGTTCTGAAAGTATTAGCCAGTGCCATTAGGCAAGAAGAAGAAATCAACAGGATACAAATTAAAGAGAGGGAAGTAAAATTATCCCTGTTTGCAGATGACATGGTCCTTTATATAGGTAAACTGGAAAAGTCCACTAAGAAACTACTGGAATTCATAGCAGAATTCAGCAAAGTTGCAAGATAGAAAATCAACACACAAAAATCAATAGCATCACTTAACAACAGTACATACACTAACAATGCTCTAGCTGAGAAAGAATTTGTTACATAAGTCCCATTCAACATAGCAACAGAAAAATTTAAATGCCTTGGGATAAATTTAACCAAGGATGTGAAAGATCTCTACGATGAAAATTACAAAGTATTATGGAATTAAAATATAAAACAAAAAATAGAAAACTCTGTCATGTTCATGGATTAGAATATCACCCAGACTGGTGCTGTGGCATAGTGGGTAAAGCCGCCACCTACAGTGCCAGCATCCCACATGGGCACCAGTTTGAGTCCCAGCTGCTCCACTTCTGATCCAGCTCTCTGCTATGGCCTGGGAAAGCATATAAGATGGCCCAATGCTTGGGCCCCTGCAAGAAGCTCCTGGCTCCAGATCAGCATAGCTCCGGCCGTTGCAACCAACTGGGGAGTGAACCAGCGGATGGAAGACCTCTCTCTCTGCACCTCTCCTATCTCTGTGTAACCTAGACTTTCAAATAAATGAATAAATCTTTGACAAATAAGCAAAAATCATTCCCTGAAGAAAGCTCAGTCTCAACAAATGGTGTTGGGAAAATCTCCACACACACAGGTATGAAACAAGATCCCTACCTTACACCCTATATAAAGATCAACTCACCATGGATCAAGGATCTAAACCTAAGACCTGAAACCATCAGATTACTAGAAAAAAACAGAGGGGGAACAACAGCAAGACATTGTCACAGGCAAAGACTTCTTGGGTAAGATCCCAGAAGCACAGGCAATCAAAGCAAAAATAGACAATGGTGCTTACATCAAGCTAAGAAGCTTTTGCACAGCAAAGGAGACACTACAAAGTGAAGAGGCAACCAACAGGATGTGAGAAAATACCTGCAAACCATGGAGCTAATAAAGGACTAATATACGGAATATATAAGGAACTCAGGAAACTCAATCCAGTTAAACGGATAAAGGACATGAACAAAGGATGAAACACAAATGAGCAAGAGACACATGAAAAAATATGCTCAGGATCACTGGCCATTAGGGAAATGCAAATCAAAACCACAATGAGATATCACCTCACCCCAGTCAGAGTGCTATCATCCAAAACTCAAAAAGCATCAAATGCTGGTGAGAAAATGGAGAAAAAGGCACCCTAATACACTATTGGTGGAAATACAAGCTGATACAACCATTATGAAAGACAGTATGGCAGATTCCTAAGAAATCTGAAAATAGATCTTCCATATGACCCAGCTATCCCACTACTGGGAATTTACCCAAAGGAAATGAAATCAACATATGAAAGTTACTTGTACTCCTAAGTTTATAGCAGTTAAATTCACAATAGCTAAGATATGCAATCAACCCAGATGCCTGTCAACTGATGACTGGATAAAGATATGTGGATGGGTACACAGACACACAGATACACACAAACAGAAAAACATCTGGCCACAAAAAAAGTATGAAATCTTGACTGTTGCAACAAACTGGATATAACTGGAGTTCATTATGCTTAGTGAAAGAAGCCAGACCCAAAAAGAAAAAGCATCAGATTTTCTCTTATTTGTGGTAGCTAATATAGAGTATAAAAATTTTAATGTACATGAATGAAATTCACATCTTGGAATTTGATCATTGTTCATTCCTACTGAACAGTGGTGTTTCTATTTTTTACTTGAACTTTTATTAGTGGAGCATAAAGTCTTTGCCTATAAAGTAAATTTAAAAGAAGTTATAAAAATCAAAAAAGAAAGGCAGAGGGAAGTATCATTATATTCTTAGAATTATCTACAAACTATATGAAATCTGTCTTTATATTAATACAAAATTTTTAAAGATCGAAAAAAGACTCAAATGACATCTCAGGTCTCACATCTTTATCGAAATAAAGCTGCTAACTGTCAACTAAAGACACACATACCAGAATCACCTCAAACATCTGTTGCGAGTTCTGCTGGTTTTATCTATAAACAAGTTACAGGGCCTGCTGCCAAACAACTCGATTCATTCTGTTCCAGAGCGAGCCACAGTAATTTCGGTCATTTAATAATGTCACACTGGTCACTCTTGTCCAGCCAGGGTGGGGAACCGCCAATATCACAACGAGAGGTGACAATAAATCAAGACTGTAGCCAGTATTTAAATAAACAGCATAACATGGAGCACATACACCATCAAAACTGATAAATACTGAAATTATACAGAAACACAGGAAAGTACATATAGAAAACTCAGTAATATGGAATGTAGATTTATTTACGTGACACAAAATGTGCATTAAGTAGACCTCCTCCCCAAGAGCGGAAGGTGGATGAGCGCATTCAGAAAGTCTGCCAGTCAGGAAAAGTCCGTTTCCACTCAAGAGGCTGACAGCCTGACGGCGAGAACACTGACCTCGTCCAAGGGTGAACAAGCGGCTCCCGAGAAGGCCCCTGACACGCACAGCTACCACTGGCATCTCTGAGTAGCAATGTTCTTGAAACCCAGAGGTTGCCTACAGGTGCCGGAAGCTGGCAGATAAGAGCATTTTTGCAACAGAAATCACAGGAGATGGAAAGCAACTATCATCCTAAGCAAACAGGAGTGTGCAGACCCAGTACAGAGAAGCAAGCTCTAACAGCTGTGAGAAGGAAGAGGCTCCGGCACTTCAGCGTTGGCGCCAGCGACAGCCCACCAGTGCCCCCAGCACCCAGTCAGCTCCGCGCTCCCCGGGCCTCTGCTGGCCTGGCTGAGCTCCCTGTCTGCTTCCTGCCCTGGACTCCCCTGCAGACCCGGGCAGCTCCCACCCAGGTCTCTCACAGCACGTCTATTTACGTGTTACCCTCTCCACCCAACTATGAACTCCTTTGGGGCAGGACAAGTGGCCCAATCCATGTTATACTCCTGCATCTAGTGACCACCACAGGCAGACAATCCAGGACTGAGAAGGTGTGGCAATTGATACCGACCTCCTCCAGCTTCGGAACACCTGAAAGTGCTGTTCCCAAAACGAAACGTGACAAGTTCCCAAGGATGCCACTGCCCAGGTACCGGAGCCTGCTGGCTCTCAGGGGGAGCATGGGTGGGAGCCAGGAAGCAGACAGGTAAACCCCGGCCCTCAGTACAGGTCAGGTCTCCGAGGGCCGCCTCCCCTGCTGTGCCACGGGAACGCCCTGCCTCTAACTTCACACTTCACTGCACTGTCAGGGCAGCCAGCACCCTTATCAGACTCTAAGCAAGACGGCGGTGGCCCTGTGGCCAAGCAGTGAGCAATGGCGGCAGCTCTATTTTTTTCCGTAACTGTTTCCTAAGTCCTTATCTGTGAAGTGACCACTGGCAGTGCCCAAGAGACAGGATATGTAAACAACGGCCCTCCGCAGGTGGCTCACACACGAACCAGCGCACAGCTTTCTCCAACAAGCAGCCAAAGCCAAGGACCCCCGACGCCGGGCGGTCAGCACGAACCCCGCCGAGGGGCTCCAGCAGCCCCCAGACAGCTCGTCGGCCTTGGCTTCATCACCGCAGTGCACACACACCCCGTGGAGCCTGGCCGCAAAGGAAGCACAGGGGTACCGCGAGCAAGTGAGCCCACCTGCGCCCGCGCCCACAGCGACCCTCCCGACCGGCCCTCAGGCCCTGGACGCTGCTGGGGCTCGGCCCGAGGCTGTGCGGGGCACCCCGGCGGTGCTCGCCCCCCTGGCCTCGGTCCTCTCCTAAATTCATCCCCTGCAGGCGAGGAACGCCGGACCCTCAGCGCCCCTCCCCCACCACCGCCAGGGGCAGCCGCAGCCCACTACTAAACGCTAAATGAAAGCACCGACAGGTGCACGGACAGCACGCCCGGCTCTCACGCACACGCCACGGCGAGACGGCCGCGGGCTCTGCCCCACACAGGGAACGTCGCACCCCTCCCCAACCCCTCCCGGCAGCGCGCGCACCTGAGCAGGGCGAGCAGCCCGCAGCCCCCGGCCCACCCGCGTCCACGACGCCCCTCACCTCACGGGCCGCTGGGAGCCAGGGCGCCGCAGGGGCCACCCAGGTGCGGCACCAGGCCCCGCGAGAATTACACACGCAATCCCCACGGCTTACGAGGTCACTCCAAAAGGCGTGTGGGAAAGGGGAACTAAGAGAGATGTCTTTATTCTGCTGACCAAACACAAACAGAACTCGGAAGCCCACGCAGTCTCCCCACAACCCGCATTTTCCATGCACCTGAGAGACCCCTCTCGGGCCCGCCCACCGCCCAGCTCCACCTGCAGGCTCCCACCTGCGGGGCCTTCAGGGACCCTGGCGCGGGCGAGCCCGGGTGCGGGAGACCCGCACGGAGTCCCGCAGCACCGTCGCTAACGGGGAGCCCCGGGGGCGCGGCGGGCCCCTGCCCGCTCTCCACCGATTCTCGCAGGAGGCGGGGTCCCCCCGGCCGGCGAGGGCGTCCTCTGGCCGACCCCGCCACAGCCCGCGCGGGTCGCCGGCATCGCGGGGCCGAGGGCCGCACCGCAGCCCAGCCACGGCGGCGACCGGACACGCGCGGCTCCGGGCTGCTCCCGCCCGCCCGCCTCGGCTTCCTTCCCTTCTCTCCACCCAGCACCCGGCACTGCGCCCCCTCGTCGGGGTCCCGCCGCCGCTCACCTGACGAGCGGCAGGAGCGGAGGCAACGCCGGCGACCGCGGGAACACCCAACCGCCGAGAGCCGCAGCCGGAGGCCGCCGGCTCAGCTTCCCCGCCCGCCGGGGCGCGCCAGGCAGCAGCCAATAGGCGCCGAGTCCCGGCCGGCCGCATCCAATTGGAGAGCAGCGAGGGCCACGAGGCAGGGCGGGCGACGCGCCAGCCCCGCCCCGCCGGCGGGCGCGCGGGAGGACCCGGGGCGATGTTGGCGGAGCAACGTGTATCTGCTGGGATTGGCTGGCAGGGCAGCGTGCGGCGCGCTGATTGGCCGTCGGGAAATGGACCGATCCGGCGTGCGTGTGGGCCGGCGGGCCTGGCCAAGTCGCTGCGGGCGGGGCGGCCGGCGCGTGCTCCCTCCGGGGCTGGGCGTGGCCTGACCTTTGCCCGCAGGCCGTAGGTCTCCGCCGGAGCCGGCTCGGCGCGGGGCGCGCGGGGCGCCGGGCGGGGAGGTGGCCGCGTGCGGGCGTGGCCGTCTGGAGACCCGGCGAGCGGGGCTTCGAACCCGACCTGCTCTTTCCGTTTCCCGGGAACTCAAGCAAACGCGCGGCTTGAGAACCCACGGAGGGTGGGGAGCCCTGCGCGGCCGCGCCATTCGTGGGTTTGGAGAGATTTGCCACGGGACGAAATGACACTCCGCGAAGTACTGCATTGGCCGCAAAGGGAGCCCAGACCCTGGCTTCCGGAAGTGTCCCCGGGGCTTTAAGGCATTAGTTACTGTCTGTTCCCGGGGTCGTCCTGTGGGGGTGCCACTGGACAGGGGTTTCAGTTGGGTATGTTGAGTGGCCTGGGGCTCCTGGGGGTGGGGGTGGGGGTCCCCCCTTACAGGCTCAGCCCTATCGGCTGCCCGCTCTGGGTGAGGGTGCACCCACCTGGAGGTGTGATTTAAAGCCACAAGGTCCCACAAGACAGCCAGGGTCTCCGGGAGCCGGTGCAGCTCTCCCCAGGGGCCAGCCCCTTCCCCTGCCTGCTCTGGGTGAGGGTGCACCCCCTGGGTGTGATTTCAGTCTGCAAGGTCCCACAGGCAGCACAGGAAGCTATCAGCGGGGGAGACGCCAGTGGGTCTGGAGACGGGATTTCCAGCCACGGCTGGCAGCCTGCCTGTGAAGGACATTGCACCTGGGTCTGAGGGCCCGCAGACCCCGGCCCCGCTGGCCGGCCTCACTGAACTTTGCCCACTTTGTCTCTGATCCCGTGGCGCTAAGGTAGGGGTGTTGACACACGTGTTGCCCTTGCAGTCTCCAGGCAGGTTAATTGCTGAATGACTGGACTAGAATCTGGCCAAAGTCCACCAGATTCTTACTCGTGAGAAATGACTTTTTCAGCGCTTATTGATTCCCGTGTACTTGAAAGGCAAAGGGAAGACACAGATTTTTCCATCCATGAATTCACGCCCCAAATGCCCACACCTGGACTGGGCCAGGCCAGAGCCAGGAGCCCAGAACTCCATCTCCATCTGGGTCTCCCAAGGGTGGCAGGGGCCCAGGCACTTTAGCAGTGACGGCTGCCTCCCGGGCACCTTAGCAGGGAGCTGGATCAGAAGCCAAAGTGGCAGAGCCAGGACTGGAAACAGCACTCCCACATGGGGTTGAGTGTCCCAAGGTCAGCTCGGCCCACTGTGCCACGGTGGGATTCAGGGGGCTCACAATGTCCACAAAACTCATGCTGTGCCTCGCAGTTCCTCCTCAGAACTGTGCACAGTGGGGACCGGAAATGAAAGGCCTACCCCCGCCCCCACCCTTCGAGGCTTATGCAGTTTGCTTGCATTGGGGAGCAAGTCCTCAGCGGAGCACCCCGCTGTGGGGACCCAGCTCTGCCAGGTCACTCGGACGCCCCGCCTGTGCGCGGACACGGTCACTGTGGCTTTGTCTGGCGTTGGGGACGGAGGCACTGCACTTAGCTCCTGGGAGTTCTTGTCTGATTTCTGGGAGATTTCCGTTGCTTCTCCTTTGTTCCTCCACTGTTGCCCTGAATTTCCTGGTCAGAATGAACGTGGGGCGGCTGAAAACAACCCTGCCACTTTCAAAGTAGAATGTCACTAGTGCAAAACTGCAGCTCCAGGACAGACAGGACACGTCATCTGAAGCTAACACTGGGTCGCCAGTAACCCAGACGTGGCGAAAAGCAGGCGTGCACGAACAGGGAGCTGCAGCATTGGCGGGCAACAGAGCTCTCCCCTCCAGATAGTCTGCAAATGGGGAAGTAGGCTTTCCACCCACAGTGAGAGACAGAATTTTAATTAAGATCCCTAAAAAATTCTAAACCACAGAAATAATAAATTTACCATTTCCTGCCCAGGAATAATAAACCTAGAAATAAACAAAATAAAAACAGACATGTGCAAATATCCCCAATGACTTGAAATTTTTTTAAAAGTCTGTCCTCCAGACTCTTAAGTCACAGAGAAAATTAAACACTGCATACTGAAAAATATTAATAATATTTCAAATTATTAATAAATACTGTATATCAAAGCTAGGGAATATGACAAATCCTAAATTTAGAAAACTTGAACTCAGGAAAACTCATGGCCTGATCCAATGCAACAAATATTTATTAAATGTCTGCTATGTATACCATGTACTAAGGATATATTTCATCTTACCTGAGAATCTTGTATTTACAAATGACAGCTAAGCCAATAAAAAAACTAGATACAGGAATATCTTATAGAAAGATACGAAGAGACTGGCATTTGGCCCACTGGTTAAGTCACCCGCAAAGACACCCACATTCCGTATTAATGTGTTTGGGTCAAGCCTGGCTCCGCCTCCTGAATCCAGCTCTCTGCTTCAAGTGCCCTAGGAGGCAGCTGGGATGCTCCTGCCACCCACATGGAGATCAGTGTTGAGTTCTCAGCTCCTGGCTGTGGGCACCAGCACATTTGGATATGAACCAGCCAATGGGAGATTACATCCGTCTGTCTCTACTCTGTCACTCAAATGAAGTTAAAACTGTTAGGAAAAGAGTGCACATTGGTGCTTCCTCACACAGGGCACCAAAATGTTAGGAAAAGAGGCAGAGAGGAGACAGAATATGAACTCACAGGCAGACCGAATTTATTCAGAGAAAATAAATCTGCAGAGGTTGACCAACTACCTTCATGCTCACAGAGCAAACACATGGCAGAAGCCTAGAGGTCAGGGGCTGGGTTAATACCTTAGGTGGCCTAAGGGGAGGGGTGGGGAGGGTGGGGAGGCAATAGGCAGTGATGATCTTCTCCATACTGGTTCTTCCCGTTGGCCCTCTGGCTTCCAAACCCACTGAAGAATGCAGGGGGCGGGATGGGGACAAAACAATCTCTTGAAAAAGGCAGGAATAACAAGAAACCTAAAATGGCTGAGGCTTAAGTCCTTGTTCCATCAGAAACAATCATTTAAAACATATAGGAATAAATTGAAACAATCATTTAAAAGGAATAGGAAGCTGACTTACAAATTTTATCTTACAGAAATTTGCAACTCAGAAGTATGAGCCACAGACCAGCAGCTCCCGTATCCTGTGGGAGTTTGCTATAGACAGGAGTCCTAGTCCCTGACCTGCTGAATCAGCATTAACAACTGGGTCATCTGCAGGCGCACTGAGTCTAGAGAAGCGCCATTATAGAACACAGGAGCTTGACTTACGCTGAACCTCAAGCCAGGGGGACACCGCAACCTAAAGGTCACCAAGAACGAGTGCCACGTCAGAAGCTGCGTACTTACACGCCCTTCACTGTGCAAAGTTACATTTCAATTAATGAGCAGAGTCGATCAACAAGCAAGTTCGGGAAAAATTCAGAAGGCAGAATTAACAATATAGAAACAAAAATACTGGGAAAAATTGGAAAGCAAAAAAATACATGACCTGGGTTTTGGTGGGGTGGGAGTGAATTTGAACACAGTAGAATTTCAACAGTATGTCCAATAAAGAAGGAAAAAACAAGAGAAGAGTTAAATGAGTATGAATAAATGGAAGGAACTTCCATTGAAAATTAAGTCAAAATGGTGAGCCTTCATTAATTCAAAATTTAAATCTTGGTAAAATGAATACAACCCCAATAAAATGTAAATCACCAAATTTGACCAGAAAAGGAATTTGAGTTAGGAGTCTAATCAATTTGTACAAATAAAAACTTTGAGACTATTAGGAAAACACTACCACTCAGCACAGGACAAGAGCATTTCACAGCCTAATTGTTCAATTCCTAAAGAAACTGGTCATTCTAATGTTCTTACCGCCAGTTTTAGACCTCAGATTTATTTATTTATTTATTTATTTATTTATTTATTTTTGACCAGGATTGAGTCAACACACAGCAAGTCCAAGCCACGGGGCACATTTGTGGGAAGCACTGGGTTAGGCAGCAAGGAGGACGATTTCCAAGAGGCTTGGTCATGGTTCTACCTGGGAGTGGGACAACGAGCCACATTAGGTCACTGCTAACCTGAGGGAGTGTCCAGGGTTCCCCTGGTATCGTGAGAAGAGAAACGAAGGAGGGAAGCCAGGTCAGGTCTGGGTGACAAGGTCAGCTTGATTGTCCTCCGAAGACCATGGCAGTCATGAGGCAATCTGGTACTTGCTTAAAGAAAAGTAGATTACTGAGGGTTTTTTTATTTTATTTAAATTGCTTTTATTTAAAAGTGGATCTGGGTATTATTTCAATTAGCTTTTCCCAAGGCCACATTGCATGCAAGGCAAAGTCACTCCTGGTGGAATTTGCATCCCAAATTATACTCCTATCATCTAACCAGACTCACTAAAAAGGCTTCTGATATGTGCACCACACAATAATATATAAGCCTAGCTTCTAACGTGAACCATATGATAACTATTTAATGAATTAAGTTAATCAAATTTGCTATCACCCATGCAATTTAATATAACAACCCCCCAGAACCCCAGAACCCTTTCAAATTAATTTCTTGTCCCAGTGGAAAAATACAACTCTACCAAACTACCTTGCTCTCCTAATCCACCTAAAGAGGGCCAACACATGTCTTCCCCGATTTCTCTCACCCTCTGGGACCCTCTCCCTACCTGGGGTCTCACAGAAGTGTGTGGGTCCACCTGGTGTTTCTTCTGGCTGTTGGGAGACCTAATCGGACAGGTTCAGCTTTA